CGGTTCCCAGCTGATGCTCATGATGCGCGGCTGGCGTTGCCAGTTTGGGAAGAAAAGCCCCAGCTGATGCTCATGATGCTCACTGGCCTGCCCTTCTGATTTCTGGGAGGCCAGTTCCCAGCTGATGCTCATGATGCGCGGCTGGCGTTGGCAGTTTGGGAAGAAAAGCCCCAGCTGATGCTCCTGATGCGCGGCTGGCGTTGGCAGTTTGGGAAGAAAAGCCCCAGCTGATGCTCATGATGCTCGCTGGCCTGCCTTTCTGATTTCTGGGAGGCCGGTTCCCAGCTGATGCTCATGATGCGCAGCTGGCGTTGGCAGTTTGGGAAGAAAAGCCCCAGCTGATGCTCATGATGCTCGCTGGCCTGCCTTTCTGATTTCTGGGAGGCCGGTTCCCAGCTGATGCTCATGATGCGCGGGCTGGTTGGCAGTTTGGGAAGAAAAGCCCCAGCTGATGCTCATGATGCGCGGCTGGCATTGGCAGTTTGGGAAGAAAAGCCCCAGCTGATGCTCATGATGCTCGCTGCGCTGCCTTTCTGATTTTGGGAGGCCGGTTCCCAGCTGATGCTCATGATGCGCGGCTGGCGTTGGCAGTTTGGGAAGAAAAGCCCCAGCTGATGCTCATGATGCTCGCTGGCCTGCCTTTCTGATTTCTGGGAGGCCGGTTCCCAGCTGATGCTCATGATGCGCGGCTGGCGTTGGCAGTTTGGGAAGAAAAGCCCCAGCTGATGCTCATGATGCTCGCTGGCCTGCCTTTCTGATTTCTGGGAGGCCGGTTCCCAGCTGATGCTCATGATGCGCGGCTGGCGTTGCCAGTTTGGGAAGAAAAGCCCCAGCTGATGCTCATGATGCTCGCTGGCCTGCCTTTCTGATTTCTGGGAGGCCGGTTCCCAGCTGATGCTCATGATGCGCGGCTGGCGTTGGCAGTTTGGGAAGAAAAGCCCCAGCTGATGCTCATGATGCTCGCTGGCCTGCCTTTCTGATTTCTGGGAGGCCGGTTCCCAGCTGATGCTCCTGATGCGCGGCTGGCGTTGGCACTTTGGGAAGAAAAGCCCCAGCTGATGCTCATGATGCTCGCTGGCCTGCCTTTCTGATTTCTGGGAGGCCGGTTCTCATCTGATGCTCATGATGCGCGGCTGGCGGTGGCAGTTTGGGAAGAAAAGCCCCAGCTGATGCTAATGATGCTCGCTGGCCTGCCTTTCTGATTTCTGAGAGGCCGGTTCCCAGCTGATGCTCATGATGCGCGGCTGGCATTGGCAGTTTGGGAAGAAAAGCCCCAGCTGATGCTCATGATGCGCGGCTGGCGTTGGCAGTTTGGGAAGAAAAGCCCCAGCTGATGCTCATGATGCTCGCTGGCCTGCCTTTCTGATTTCTGGGAGGCGGTTCCCAGCTGATGCTCCTGATGCGCGGCTGGCGTTGGCAGTTTGGGAAGAAAAGCCCCAGCTGATGCTCATGATGCTCGCTGGCCTGCCTTTCTGATTTCTGGAGGCCGGTTCCCAGCTGATGCTCATGATGCGCGGCTGGCGTTGGCAGTTTGGGAAGAAAAGCCCCAGCTGATGCTCATGATGCTCAATGGCCTGCCCTTCTGATTCTGGGAGGCCGGTTCCCAGCTGATGCTCATGATGCGCGGCTGGCGTTGGCAGTTTGGGAAGAACAGCCCCAGCTGATGCTCATGATGCTCGCTGGCCTGTCTTTCTGATTTTTGGGAGGCCGGTTCCCAGCTGATGCTCATGATGCGCGGCTGGCGTTGGCAGTTTGGGAAGAAAAGCCCCAGCTGATGCTCATGATGCTCGCTGGCCTGCCTTTCTGATTTCTGGCAGGCCGGTTCCCAGCTGATGCTCATGATGCGCGGCTGGCGTTGGCAGTTTGGGAAGAAAAGCCCCAGCTGATGCTCATGATGCGCGGCTGGCGTTGGCAGTTTGGGAAGAAAAGCCCCAGCTGATGCTCATGATGCGCGGCTGGTGTTGGCAGTTTGGGAAGAAAAGCCCCAGCTGATGCTCATGATGCGCGGCTGGCGTTGGCAGTTTGGGAAGAAGCTGGCCCGGCCCTTTCTGGCATGATGCTCGGCTGGCCCTGGCATTTCTGGGACCCGGAGGAAGGTTTTTTGGCCGAAGCTCGACATGGTGCCCTAAACCCTAAACCCTAAACCCTAAACCCTAAACCCTAAACCCTAAACCCTAAACCCTAAACCCTAAACCCTAAACCCTAAACCCTAAACCCTCAACACTAGCATCCGCATCTTGCCTCATCCGATAGAGGAGCTGTATGCGGGTCGCCATGATCTCCTGTTGTTCCATCTCACTGCCTCGGCTGCCAGCAAAAGGGTTTGGGGAGTCTATGCTCTGGGGTCCGCCTTGATTGAGATTTAGGGTTTAGGGTTTAGGGTTTCGGGTTTAGGGTTTAGGGTTTAAGGCTTAGGGTTTAGGGTTTAGGGTTTAGGGCACATTGCTGCGGCCCCACATGCCACGCTCAGCCCTAGAGCCCTCAGCACTAATCACGAATCTAAACGAAGATGGCCACGGTCTAAGCTGTTTGAGGTTTGAAGACTCACCTTTTCTGAAATTTCTCACACGTTTGAAGCCCCAAGGACCCTCATTCCCAAAACCTGACAGAAGCTTCTAGTTACCTGCTAGTTACCTGCAACCCTTTGAGATCTATGAGCCCCAAAACCCTGAAACCCTTTTATACCTAACGGTTTAGGGTTTAGGTTTAGGGTTTAGGGCTTAGGGTTTAGGGTGTAGGGCTTAGGTTTAGGGTTTAGGGTTTAGGTTTAGGGTTTAGGGTTTAGGCTTTAGGGTTTAGGGTTTTAAAACAGGCCCCTTGAAGCTGAGCTGCACCTGGCCAAGGTGAAGAACAGCGGGCGCACGGAGGACATCAGGCGATGGTACTCCTGATCTGTAGGAGTTTTGGGGACTGTGGGGTTTAGGGTTTAGAGGTTTAGGGGTTTAGGGTTGAGGGTTTAGGGTTTAGGGTTTAGGGTTTAGGGGTTCGGGGTTCGGGGTTTAGGGTTTGGGGTTTGGAGTTTAGGGTTTAGGGACCCTGAATGCTCTATAACCCCTAAGTCCTAGAAACTACAATGCTTCTAGGGTCAAACCCTAAACCCTAAATCGTGTTCTTTGAGTCTTAGGGCTTGTATGTGTTCAGGTCTGGGACTTTCGGATCTGGGTCAGCCTTAAACGCGAGACCCTGAGCAACCCTTAAACCTAAACCATCCTGGAGCCCAAGCCCAAGGACCACAGGCCCTGCTTCCCAGGCCGCCTAGGCCCCAAAACCTTCGGGTTTTTAGGGTTTAGGGTTTAGGGTTTAGGGTTTAGGGTACACGTTTAGATCCCAAAGATGGGCTTGGTCATGATGTAGGATCGCAGAACTCTGAGGCCACGATTTGAGACCTCCCCTACAGGGTTCAAGGCTTACCATTTAGGGTTTAGGTTTAGGGTTTAGGCTTACCCTAAACCCTAAACCCTAAGCCCTAAGCCCTCAAGTGCTGCTGTGAGCAAGCGGCCGCCCGCGGCAGCTTCGTCGTTCGCTGGTTGTTGATCTCGGTTTAGGGTTTAGGGTTTAGGGTTTAGGGTTTAGGGTTTAGGGTTTAGGGTTTAGGGTTGCTCCGTGCGTCGGCACCCGACAGGCCTACGATACAAACCTGCAAGCTCGAAAGCCGGCAACCCTACAAAGGCCGACGAACTCAACCCTAAGCCGGCAGAAGCCCAGTCTTCCTTGGCAGTGGCAAGGACACCGGAAACCGAACTGAAGGCACTTTAGTTTCGAGCTTAGGAGTTTCAGGCTAACCCAGACCCTCACACTCCTACTTGCCAAATATCCCAAGGGAACTACAGGTTACGTAGCCGCTAACCCCCCACCCCTCACACTCCTACTTGTCGAAGATCCCAATGGAACCAAAGGTTTCGTAGCCGCCGTGAATATACAGGGGTTGTTTGGGATGCTCCCTTGGCTCCCTTGACAGGGATTATAATGCGGGGTACTGGGGTACTATAATCCCTATTAAGGACTGTTACCCAGCGGGTCCATTTGTAGTACTATTATGGCATTGGGTAACCCAAAAAGTATGGTTTTTGGGTACCTAATTCCATGATAGTGCTACAAAAGGACCCTCTGGGTCTATTGTTCCCCCAAACCCTAAACCCCAAACCCTAAACCCCAAACCCTCAACCCTAAATCCCTGTTAAGGGGGTATAGTAGGGAGGGGGTACTACAATGACTCTTCAGGACAGTTAGTATAAGGGCGAACATCCCAAGGGGTCAACGCCAAGACCGATGCCTTAGGCTCTGGCCATCAGGAGGTGGTCAGAGACTCGCACTCCCTGGCGTTCCGGGCCCCAGGGTTTAGGGTTTAGGGTTTAGGGGTTCCCCTTTCCCTTGCAGCCCCATGAATCACGAAGCGGGCCATGATGCTTTGAAGCTCAGAAGCTTTCAGGTGCCCTCACCCTGGCCCTAAACCCTAAACCCTAAACCCTAAACCCTAAACCTGTAACCTAGAAGCTCGAAAGTGTGCCTGTCATGCGAGTTTCAAACGTTGGCACACACTCAGCCACCTCCATCATCTCCAGCCCTACACCTGAAATCCGGACACAAGTCCCTCAACCCCTAAATCCTAAACAATCCGTTTAGGGTACCCTAAACCCTAAACCCTCAACCCTAATTCCTAGACAATCCGTTTAGGGTTGAGGGTCTGGGGGTTACGGTTTAGGGGTTTTGCGGCTCAGAGTTCTGTTGGGTTACCACTCTAGGGTGAGGACTCAAGGTGGAGGCATCCCTAAACCCTAGCCCTAAACACTTCAACCCTGACCCTTATATCTCTAAACGCTACGCCCCACATGAACCCTAACATCCCTAAACCCTAAACACCTCAACGCTAAACCCTTCTATCCCTAAACCCTACACCTCACATGTAAAAACTTATGAGTCCACTACTACTCTAATTCCTATTGATTCCTATTAAGTTCAAGGTATACGAACCATAAGCCTTTTGGGGTTCATGTGGTCCCCTAACCTAGGCACGTCGTGTCAAAACGTATGAGCCTCCCTAAACCCTAAAACCTAAACCCTAAACCCTGAACCCTACGAGCCTCGCTCTCGGCCCAGCCACCCTTGGCGACGGCCAAGATCTGCGCAGCAGCGCTTTGGGCACTGACGGGGCGTTGGGATAGGCTTTGCGGCTTCAGGGCTTTGGAGGCTTTAGGGTTTAGGGTTTGAATTTAGGGTTTAGGGTTAGGAAAAACCCTAAGTTCTAGTAAAAGTGCTCGAGGGAAAACTCTAAGGCTAAGTCTGAGTTTTCAATTCCACCTATGAATGGACAGGGGCATTCCTCAGGCGTCTGCCAGTGGTCAAACTTGACATTCACCACGCCATCTGCAACCATGATTCCTGGCTTCTGGACCTTCATGTTTTCCGCAATCTTTTTGAGATCGTGCTGGATTTGGCTCACGTCACCCCAAACGTTCAAAAAGCAGGCCCGGGCGCCGCCGTGGTCCAGCTCCTCACCGGGGTCGGTCTTTTGGTTCAGGTTGTGGAATGCTCCGTGCACTCCAGCCTGCTTGTCCGCACCCACAGCGTCACGCGCCGTGCGTGCAGTGCTCACCCAACGTCTTCGCGTGGTCCTCGGCCGCCTCCGGCTCCTTGGCAGAATCGGGGGCGGATGCTCACGATGCCCGCCGGCCCTGCCTTCCTGGGAGGAAGGTTCCCGGGTGATGCTCGTGATGCTCGGCTGGTCCTGCCTGTTTGGGAAGAAGGGTTCCAGCTCATGATGCTCGGCTGGCTGGGAAGGAGGGTTTCGGCTGATGCTCGCGATGCTTGCTGGCCCTGCCTTTCTGAAAGAGGAAGGTTACCGGCTGATGCTCATGATGCTGGGCGGGTCTTGCTGAGTCTTGCTAGTTTGGGAAGAAGGGTTCCAGCTGATGATCATGATGCTGGCTGGCCCTGCCTTTCTGGGAGGAGTTGATGTCATGATGCTGCGCTGGCCTTGCTAGTTTGGGAAGAAGTGTTCCAGCTGATGCTACTGAAGGTTTCCAGCTCATGCTCGTGATGCTCGCGGGCCCTGCTCAGTCGAGCAATTTTCAATCAAGCTCCACAGACCACTGCAGGAGCTCATAGGGGGGATTTCCGAAACTCGGGATACCTTGTTATATTGGGGTTCTTATTACAAGGGAATCCTACTGTAGGGGCCTGAATAATTGGAACAGGGTTTTGGGGTTGTTATAGTATAATGACAAAGGGACCATAAGGGAATACGATTAGTACTTATTCCGACCCCTATCTATAGTACTCTTTGGGGTGCATACTAGGGGGTCCCTGATTTTTCGTGCACCCCCATAGGATGTTACCCCCCCACCCCCCTCAAAAAAAAAGAGCCTGCACCCGTTCCGCTGGCGGCTCGCGATTGGGCCGAATGCCCATCTTCGTGACGTCTGGCCTTGTGGTGCGTTTAGGATGCTGAAGCCTCTTTCTTCTCCTTATCCTTATTGTTATCATTCTTCTTCTTCGTCATTTTTTGTTTCTTCCTATTTTTCTTCTTCTTCTTCTTATTCTTCTTGTTCTGCTGCTGCTTCTGCTCTTCTTTCGCTTTAGGGGTAACTCTGGAACACTTGCAAAATTTGAGGGTTTGAGCAGAAAACCACCTTTGGCAGAAACTACCTTGCAACACTGCGCCGAAATGCCCTGGGGGCTGGACGCCGCCTTGATGACGTAGGGCTCCCCCACGCCAGCCTGCCGAAGAGCTTGCCGACATCCCAGCCCCCTCCCCTTACAGGAACCGTTCCCCGATTTGACTCCATTTGAGGATAGCAGGGGCCCGAATTGAGATACATACCCTAAACCCTAGACCCTAAACCATCAACCCCTAAATCGAATCAGAAGGTGCCTCGAATTGACTCTGATGGGTCCTATCATATGCGCTTTGTTGTTCGCACGGTGCCTGGGCTGATCCCTGGTAGTTGAAAGGACTTGAACAAGCTCCTTAAGCCCCTAGTATGGGGGGGGGGGTTACGAAAATAAGGGACCCTAAAATAGAACCCAAAATAGTAAGATTCCCTTAGAGAAAGGACCCCAGTAAGTTACGCCTAATTTCGGAAAACACCATATTCCGTGGCTTATTCTGAGAAGAGGCGCTGAACATGAGCTGAAATCAGGCTGGTCAGCATGTGATTTTGCAATAAATTGCGAAATCATTCCCGCACTTGCTTGCTCTAGAAAACCCATTGCGATGTGCAGAGCACCACCAATCAGGCAAGTGCTCCATCTGCACTACAGAACCCACAAAGACTAAACCCAAGACTCTAAACCCTAAACACTAAACCCCAACCTAAACCCTAAACCCTAAACCCCAAACCCTAAACACTAAACCCTAAACCCTAAACCCTAAACCCTAAACCCTAAACCCTAAACCCGAAACCCTAAACCCCAAACCCTAAACCGCCCAAACCCTAAACCCAAACCCTGCTCTTCCCAAAGCATAGGCACATACAACACAGTGAACATAAATAGCTACATACATTAGAAATTCATTAAAGACCAACACCACCTAGAGGTTTCCGAAAATGGGGGGGGGTACCCTTGTCGGGGTCCCTTTAAGGCGCCTCTATTCTATTGGTGTAAAAGGGATACCCCTATGTTGGGAAATACCCACCGGGGTACTCCCATGTTGGGAAATACCCACCGTGGCACCCCTATACTAACAGTCCTTGCTAGGGATTCTAGTCGGGGTACTAGAATTAAGGACAGTTAGCTGGGTGTTGCTTTAAAGCCCTTTGAAAACTGTTTATGAGTAGCTTCCCTTAGAAGGGAAAGAACGGAAATTTACAATTTATCCCAAGGGTTTAGGGTTTAGGGTTTAGGGTTTAGGGTTTAGGGTTTAGGGTTTAGGGTTTAGGGTTTAGGGTTTAGGGCAATACCCAGATAGTATAAGGGGGGAACATCCCAAATTCAAATTTAAACCAAGACCACCTGAATCCCAACAAGCCCATCCACCTCGGAGACCAGCTCCTCTGTGGCACAGAGCTTCGAAGCTCGCGCTTTTGGGGTTGCGAGGCTTACGGTTTGCGGGTTTTCAGGTTTAGGGTTCAGGGTTTAGGGTTTAGGGTGTACGGTTTGAAGGGGTTCAGGGGGCTTAGGGGGGTTTAGTGGGGTTTTTGTGGGGTGTCGGACTTTCTGGTAGAGATGGGATGTATAGGGGGTTTGAGGGGCAGGGTTGTGAGGGTTTGAGGGGCAGGGTTGTGATGCATTGCATGCATTCTGGCTTTAGGTCTTTTGGGTTCGAGCTTCAGTAAACTGTTGTCTAGGGTCCCCTCGATCACTCAACCCTACGAGACAACCCCTAAATCCTAAACCAGCCCTCAACTTCTAAGCCCCAAACCCAAAACACCTGAACCCTAAACCTTAAACCTGAAACCTTCAAGCCCCCACACACCAAATAATAGAAGCCTTAAACCTTAGACCCTAAGTTAGACCTCAAACCCAAAGCCCTCGAACCCTAAACCCCCTCTTGCGCGCGAAGCATCGGAGGCATGCAGGAGTTTGGGATGTTTGGGGGTTAGGGTTCTGAGCTTAGGGTTCAGGGCTGTTTAGGGCCTAGGGTTTGAAGGGCTTCTTAGAGGGGCCTCAGGGCCCTAAGGGCTTCAGGGTTTGTGGGCTTCGGGTTCACTTTAGGGCCTTTAGGGGCTCAGGGTTTAGGGTCTCAGGGCTCAGGGTTTCGGGTTTAGGGTTTGGGGTTTAGGGTTTAAGGTTCCGGCATTAGCGGCCAGGGGCCTTGGAAAAGTCGTGCACCGCGTGTGCGAACGTCAACTCGACTGGCCGCCGCTCCTTGTTGCCAGCGGCTTAGGGTTTAGGGTTCAGGGTTTAGGGTTCTTGCGCAGGCTGTTTGGGGAGCCGTCTAAACCCTGAAGTTCTGAGCGGGAGGGGGGGGGGGGTTGGGAGTGTTGTGGCAAACTACGTAGTCAATTGAGTGGGCACTAAACCCGAAACTCCAAACTCTAAACCTAAATCCTAAGCCTGAACCCAAAATTCCAAATCCTGAACCCTAAACCCTGAATCCCAAACCCTAATCCCTAACCCCTCTCCGCTTTCAACCCTGGGTCCTTCACTGCCGCCAAGAAGTCATCCTTCCTCGGTGCCGAGTGCTGAATGCACTTTTGCTTTGGGTTGAGGGTTCAGGGTTCAGGGTTCAGGGTTTAGGGTTCAGGTTTAGGGTTTAGCGTTGGGGTTTAGAGTTGAAGGTTTTGGGGGGCTTAGGGTTGAGACGTAGGTAGGGAGGAGTAGGAGGAGGAGTCGCCAACAAGGCTGAAGCGGGGCTATTTACCTGGAGCTTCGAACAAACCACGTTAAGAACAATGATGTTCTATGAGCCCTCAGCCCTAAGCTCCTCAATGAAAAAGGGCCGCTCACTCTCCAAACTTAAGAACTCACTCCAGTTTTTTCCATAACCAGAATTGCCCATACCCCACCAACAAGAGCACGGAACCCAACACCATAAACTTTAAACCCTGACCCCTGAAATCCTTCAATCCCTTAAGCCCTGAAAGCCACATAACCTGAAGCGTTCCGGAGCCCTCAAGCCCGAAACCAAAAGCAAACCACACCACGCTCAAACGGAAACGGGGGGAGGGGAGAACGCCATCGATTGGCTTTGGGGTCTATGGGGTTTGTGGGGATTGTGCTTATGCTGGCTTTATAGGGTATGGGGTGGGACGTTTCCCCCTATACTAACAGTTCTTCATAGGGATTATAGTAGGGCGTACTATAATCCCTCTTAAGGACTGCTAGTAAAAGGGGGAGCATCCCAAGGCATGGGATTTAGGGTTCAATTAAGGCTGATGGGTTGGCTGTCAGTGATACAGAGCTGTTATCCAGTGTCTTTTCGGACGGTTTTCAATGTCGCCCCCTGTATCCATGACTGACTGCGGAACTAGCTGTCATGCGAAGGAACACACACATACACAAAAAAACAAAAACAAGAATGCAAGGAGTTCCTCCTGCTTGCTCCGAGCGTCGCCATCTTGGACACCTGGGTTTTAGGGTTAGAGTTTGCTGTGACCCGTTGCATCCCGTTTCCATATAAAACCTGAAGCCAGTACCCTCCACACTCAATAGCCCAGTAAGCAAACCCAACCCCTGACCAAAACACCCAAGCCCGACACCCTGAACCTCAAACTGCTGAAAAACAAATTACATCCCAAACCGCAACAACAAAAACAAAACGCCTACCCTAAACCCTAATTGTCCAAAAAAATGAGTTGCCCGATTAATCCCTATAAGCCCTATCGACCGGACATTGAGCTAGGCTTCTACCAGCCGTAGGGCTCTCCCCCGAGGGTTTAGGGTTTAGGGTTTAGGGTTTAGATTTAGGGGTTTAGGGTTTAGATTCAGGGTTTAGGGTCTAGGGCCTAAGGCAGTAGGGAAGACGACGGGGGCTCTATGGTAAGAACTTGCGATAGAGCACATTCTAGGATTTTTAGGTAACCTACAAAACAGTAGGCTTTGGGTTCGTAAGGTAGGGTTTTTAAGGTCAGGAGGGTTTGTCGGCTTAGATTTAATTAGGGATTCTTCAGGCCTTTAGCCCATGTAGGGCTTAGATTCCTGGACCTCTTGCATAAGGGCTCAGGATTGTGTAAGTCATAGGGGTTTAGGGCATGGGGCTTGGGGTTTAGCGTTTAATCGCTTCCCCCTTTTATTAAATGCCCCCCCCTAATGATAAAAAAAAAAAAACACTTTCCGGAAAATCCTGCCGAAACCGACCCCGCCTTTCAAACCCTATTCCGAATTAGGGGGGTGGTTCAGGCCTCCAATAAACCCCTCAACACCAATAAAACCCTCAGAGGGTTTAGGGTTGGGGGTCTAGGCTAAGGGTTTAGGGTGTAGAGTCCTTATGACATTTCGATAAGAATATTTTCTAATAATAAAAACACAAATCGATTGTTTATTGGGGGGGGGGGCGTTTAATATTAGGGGATGGGATTACACTTTGGAGGGTGTTCGGATTTATATTATATTATTGTCTTTATTAATTGATTCTGTTTTTTTTTTTTTTTTTTGGGGGGGGGGGGGGCTTTGAGCTTAACTTCCCTCCACACCCTGAAAATACAAACCCCAACACCCCCAAACAAACAACGAAACCCCTGATTCCCTGAAGGCCCAACACCCCCCGCCAAACCCAAATAAATAAGCCCAGTTTCGGCAGCCCAACACCACAACCCACACCCCAAAACCCCGAACTCTATAAGCCCCCAAATTGGCCCCCAAACCCTAAACCCTAAACCCTAATCCCTAAACCCTGAACCCTAAACCCTGAACCCTAAACCCTAAACCCTAAGCCGCGGAAATCCGGACACCAAGCCAGGGAACCATTTGCTCGCCCACCTTCAGCAACTTGTCTCCTGACTTGTGTGCCAGGTCGCTGGAAGGTTTAGGGTTTAGGGTTACTGTTTAGGGTTTGTCTTAGGGTAGTTACATGGTCCCTCAGTATGGGCCCATAAAAGGGGACCCTTATATACCCCTGATGTACCCCATATAACCCAGGGGTCCATATTTCAGAACCCTTTGAGAGAAGGTAAGGGGCCATATTAAGGGACCATACAACTAACCTTAGAGTTTGGGGTTGTAGGGTCTAGGATCTTAGGCTTTTCAACTTTGGGCTTGGGATGTGGGGTTAGGTCAGGTAGGTCTAGACGAAATCCGAGAAGTAGGTGTGCCATAGGGTAAGGTTGAGGTCAGGAGGTGGGCTTGTGAGGGTCGAGGGTTAAGGGCTTTATGATTCAGGCCTTCGGGTTTACGGTCGGGGATGGGATGGCAAAGCCCTTTGGGCATCTCTGCAGGCAAGTGGCCGACCTTCACGCCACTCTTCTCAGCCCAGCTATTCCTGGGCGGAAACAACGTTGCTGTGATGCTTTTCAGTTCTTGAAGGTTTCCAAGGTAAGCTCGCAAGAAAGACGAAGCACTTCGTGTTTTTAGCTCATGCCTAGAAACATCTTGGTCGTTAAAGCACCGCACATAGGGCCCTTAGACCTTCAGACTTCAAGTGTGGCTTCGGCTTTTCACTTCATCATACCTAGGATATTGGGATGAAGTGGTGGCCGGCGCTCATGCTTAAGAGCCCTGAACATAGGAACCGTCTTGGTCATGCGATCGGCAAAGTCTGGGCACAAAAGTGGACCAAACCCTAAACCCTAACGAAACCCTAAACCGAAAAACCCTAAACTCGAAACCTCTGGGGGGGTTGCACCTTGGACCTAAGGTTGTACCCTTGGGTTTGGGGGATGCTTTTCAAAGATCCTTAAGGCAGTACCAGGAGTTTATGAAGGGGATCCTTGAGGGCTACAACCTTAGGGGTACGAGTCTTAATCCCTTGAAAACCCTAAAGCCCTAAACTCTAAACCCTAAAACCCTCAACCCTAAACCCTAAACCCTAAACTCTAAACCCTCAAACCCTCAACCCTCAACCCTAAACCCTCAACCCCAAACCCTAACCGCCCAGGGGCGGTGAGACCTTGGCAACTTTGACCGACGGCAGCGGAGGCAGCGCCGCAGGCGTGAAGCCTGCGAAGCAACCCTCACACTCAAGTGCTGAGCCCCTAAAACTAAACCCTAAACCCTAAACCCTAAACCCTAAAGCCTAAACCCTAACCACAAGAGCCCAATAACCCAGTGTGAGTGGGTCAATGTTGGGAGCCTGGTCGCTACCACATCCCCGCATTCAACCGCCCCGGATTCTTCACATAACTCACACCTGCAAAATGATCTGTGATTCCGGCCCTGGCGTAGAGGATTTAGGACTTCAGGCTTTTGGAAAGCAGGGCTCTAAAGCTTCCTTGGTGGCTTTAGGGCATCGGTCAGTCACTAGGCCCCCAAACCCTAAGCCCCAAAACCCTAAAACCCAAAAAAACCCCTAAACCCTCAAACCCTAAACCCTAAACCCCAAACTCTGACACCCAAGTAGTGGCTCTTGATTCTCTATTCGAGGGCCTGCATTGGGCGTCCCCTCAGGTAGGACCACGGTGTAGGTGTCCTGTCTTTGCAGCGTCTGGAGGAGGACTTGGGAGTTGGGCATTTTCGGTTTGGTTGCCCTAAACCCTAAACCCTGAACCCTAAACCCTAAACCCTACACCCTGCACCCTAAACCCTAACCCTAAACCCTAAACCCTAAACCCTAAACCCTAAACCCTAAACCCTAAACCCTAAACCCAGGTTTCGGTCTGGAGCAAGTCTGTGGGGGGAGCCAGTTCTTGCAGTTGAAGGAGTTTTCGAGGGATCCTGACTGCCCAACCAAAGATTTAGGGTTCAGGGCTTAGGGGTTTTCGGGCCTAGGGATACAATATTCGCTCACGTGCTGGTCTGAGGTTCTACGCCCGAGGCGTACGGGTTCGGCTTCAGTTTCCCGGGGGGGGGAACCCTAGACCATGAGCCCTAAACCCTAAACCCTAGACCCTAAACTCTAAACCCTAAACCCTACACCCTAAACCCTAAACCCTCCAAACCCTAAACCCGAAACCTTAAACCCCCAAGCCCTACGAGCTTTCAAGAGGCCTCAGGTTCCCAAAAATCCCCGGTCTCCAAGCCCCCTGCAGAGCCTCTGCCGTGACTTTTGCGCTGCGGACCTTCCGGTAAAGCTTAGGGTTTAGGGTTTCGGGTTTCAGGTTTGGGGTTTGGGGTTTGAGGTTTGGGGTCTGGGGTTTAGGGTTTAGGGCATTTGGGGTCTAGGGTTTAGTGTCTAGTGCTTAGGGTTGAGGAATTCTAGGGTTCAGGGTGAACGGTGAAGGGTTTAGGCTTTGGCTTTTAAGCTTTAAGATGCCCTTGGGTCACCAGTCTTCTCTTGTTCTCCACCGGGTTCGACCTTGCCATTTGCGTGGGGTTCGGACTCTAAAAAGAGGGACACTGCAAAGCCATGCCCTGGACTCGTACACATAAGTACAGTCAAGAAAACTTAGTTTCGGGAACCTTCTACCCCGATTTAGGGCACCCCTCTCTTTGTGCCCCTCCCTTCGTGTTTGCTGGGTTTGTCGCATGTCCCCTGCCTAAACCCCAAACCCTAAACCCTCAACCCTAATAGGCTAAGCCCTAAATCCTAAACCTGAACCAAAAACCGAAACCCTAAACCCTCAACCCTAAACCCTCCAAGCCCCTAATCGGCCCTAGCCCTTTTGCTAACGGTGGTCCCGGCCTGCTTTCCGCGCCAGGTGGCTTGCAGCTTGATGGCCGCCGCATCCTTCAGAAACCCGGGTTTAGGGTTTAGGGTTGAGGGTTTAGGGTTTGGGGTTTGGGGTTTAGGGTTTTGGGTTGGGTCCTACACCCTAAACCCTAAACCCTAAACCCCAAACCCCATACCCCAAACCCTGAACCCTGTCCATGGCGGGTCCTTCTGCCACTCCTCCATCTTGAGGGCACCTCACGCCTGGCAGCTGTGACCGGAATGTCCGAAGAACATCCACTCTGTTTGGTGGACAACCCCAGGAAAGGCATGAGAGCTTTCGCGTCAAATATCCGAGGCCCTAAACCCTCAAACCCGAAACCCTAAACTCTGAACTCTGAACCCTAAACCGCATGGAGCTGTCAAACCCCGACCCCACAAAACCTTAAGAACCCTGAAGTATGTCCGAAAGCACGGAAAAGACACCAAGAACTGAGGATTTCTCTAGGTAGCCCAAACCCGGAACCCCCAACTCCTTGGAAGAGCTCCACCCTCACTTTCCGAAAGTCATTTAGGTTCATTGCGCTGCCTGCCTCTCAAACACAAAGTTGGGCAAGCTCAACCCGAGCACAAGAACCCGAAACCCCAAAGCTTAGGAAATCGAAGTTCCTCCCCTTGGCCTCAATAAGCAGCCAAAAAGCCTACAAGAAGGTGACCTCAGCAGCGAAGCCGGGTGTAGGATTTTGAGCGCTCTAGGGCTCCCAATAAACCCTCCTTCAAAAGACGGTGCAAGCCCTATGCCCTATACCCGAAAAGCCCAAATCCTAAACCCCAAACCCCAAAAACCCTGAAGCACCAACAAACCGAAGATCCGCCCTGGTCGGCCTGCTCTTGGCAAAGAGGCCAAGCTCCTGACATCCGATTCTGAGAAGGCTGAGCCTGCCCTGAAAAGCTTATAGGACCTAGACCCTAGAGCACGGTTTAGGGTTTTGTGTTTAGGGTGTAGGTTTTAGGGTTTTGGGTTCGGGTTTTGGGTTTGGGGTTTAGGGGTTTAGGGTTCGGGGGTTTAGGGCTTAGGGTAACAGAAACAGTTTGTTCTTCTAACTAGAGGCTGGACATTGAAGGCACCGAAGTGTGCGACTGAGTTGGCAGCACCAATCTGCTTCTGTCGGGATGTTCCCCCTTATATGCAGAGTCCTTAACAGGGATTATAGTACCCCTAGTATAATCCAGATGTCGCCCTACAGGTTTGCGTTTTGCATATGCCTTTGAAATCATACCTTCTCGAGCTGAGGCTTTACCCCTGCTTATACTCCGGAAGGCGCGCTGGATGGAGTGATCCCCCCAACCCTAAGCCTTAAAAGCCCAAGCCCTAAACGTAAAACCTGAACCACAAACCTGTAAACCCTAAATCCTCAACCATCAACCCGAAGGCAACAAGACTGCTCAACCTGAACCCCTCATCCGAAAAGCAAAGCTCAAACGTCCTCACCTCTACGCCCTCAATCCTAACCCTGCACCCCCCTAAACCCCAAAAGCACCAAACACTCCAAAACCCTCAACCCCAAAACGCCGAACACTCCAAAACCCTCAACCCCAAAGTACAGTCCACAACAGAAAACAAAGCCCCCCCCAAAACACCCAAACGCTCGACCAGACCCAACGCTCAAAAACAAAAACAAAAATGTTTAATCACCCAAACCCTCCAAACCCATCAACCTGAACTCTAAATTCTAAACCATCAACCACAAAGCCCCAAAACCCCGAAACACCCCAATTGACTCTGAACCCAGGCTTGACTCCTCCTGAAAGCCCTGGTGAGTTGAGCTGTCCATGGCTGGTGTTTAGGGTTTAGGGTTTAGGGCTAGGGTTTAGGGTTTCGGGTTTCGGTAGGGCGTAGGGCCTAGAGCGCTGTTGGGGGCTGGGTGCTAAGATTTGGGGTTGAGGGGTTTAGAGTGGAGGGGGGACCTCAGGCCTTGGGGATAAGGGATGAGGATTCAGGGTTGAATTTCAGGGCTGAAAGGTTAAGGGTCGAAGGGCCTTGGGTTTGGGTTTGTTAGGTTGAGGGCTCAGAGGTTGAAAGTTTAGGCTGTGAGGGCGTTTAGCCTTCACGTAACCCTGTGTGCTGGAACCGAAGTGTAGAGAAGCAGGGTGTGTCCCGGAAGCAAGCATCGCTGGCGATTCCTAATTCATGGTTGGGATAGTATTAAAGATGTAAGTTTCCATTCCTTGTTGAGTTTAAGTACCCTTGTACATATCATTGGTTACCACACTATGACAAAGACTCAGCCCAAAAACCCCCAAACCCTTCAACCCCCACATGTGCTGTCCTAAGTGGTGCATCTAGGAGGAGACATGAAGCCTACCCAAACCCCAAATCCCAAACGATCATGACACTTCCAATCAAGGGCATCTACAGGGCTTGGGGCCCAGGGTTCCAAAGACCCAAAAGACCCACAATCTGAAATTTGTTCAGGCTGCAGTGTTTTGGAGTTTTTGATGTGAAAAGAAGGGTTCTGACCAGCCCAGGCAAGCTACAAGCCGCTCTTTTTCCCATGAAGAGTGGAGGGGTCATGAAGGTTAATTTGAGGGTTTGGCCGTGAGAGGGTTTCCAGGTGGTCACGTTGCGTTTGCGACGGCAAGACCTCAGTCCTAAAGCGACCTGCCCCACACAGGGCTGCGAATCCCAAGTGATGCTACAGATCCTAATCCTAGACCCTTGACCCCAACAATAAAATGAGGGCCTACTCCGGGTCCTAGCTAAACCCATCAACAGAAGGATCCACACCGTTCAGCATCTTCGCCTAAATCCTGCACCTCGACGCCCCCAAGCCCAAGACCATGAAACCCTACACGGCCTACACACTACACCCTCAAACCCTAGAAGCCCTTGTTTAAACCGAAAACCACTAAACCCTTAATTCCTGATTACGCCCTAGAGCCCCAGACGGCCTAAGGCCCTATAGAGCCCCTTAACCCTAAACCCTAAACCCTAAACCCTAAACCCTAAACCCTTAACCCTTAACCCTAGGCCCTTGAAGCCCCAGACGGCTTCAAGGCCACATAGAGCCTTGAACGCCTCTCCTCCGAATGGCCTGGTCAAGATCTGCGTCGGGTGCCTTGCCAAGGAGGGGGCTGCAGCAAGCCCAATACAATAGAGTCCCTAAACCCTAAATCCGAAACCCTAAACCCTAAACCCTAAATCCTAAACCCTACACCTTGCAGTACACCCCAGAAAGTTGGAACATGGTTTAAGGATGATTTATGCTGGGACATTCGGGAGTATATCCTGAACATCCTGGAACTATACTTTATAGGGGCTTCGCCTAAACCTGAACACTGAACCCTAAACCTAAACTCGAAAAGGAACACAGAACTTCGTGAAGGGGCCGTAGGCGGCTTCGGGACTTTTTGGGGTTTGGGCTTTCTATGAGGCGTTTAGGGGGAATTGTTGTTTATGGTTTGTAAAGATTGGGATTTAGGGTGTATAATAAGGCTTGGAGGGATGAATTAACTAAGGCTTACAGGGTTTTATGAGGGTTTAGAGGGTTTAGGTTCAGTGGCTGCGGAAGGGCCAAGCGGCACCCAACCCCAAACCCAGTTGTCAAAGCCCCATTCCCATATGACACCTAAGACCCCTGTCTGAAGCCTTTCAAACTGGAGCCTTCAAGCGCCATCAGCTTCACTCATTCGGAGTTACGATAATGTGGGGTTCCGAAGATAGATGCAAAAGAGGACCCCTACCCCTAATGTCGGAAACCCACATTTCGCAAGAGGCGTTAGAGATGACTGGCTGTCGGGTTCAGGGTTTGCGGCCTTCAAACCCAAGACCTGAACTGCAAATTCCCAAACCCCATGTTCGGGCTTCGACTCGAACAAGCTCTACAACAACAAAATGCCCCTAGCCCTGACCAAAGAAACTCTTCCTTAAGACCCTCATGCAGTTGATTAGGGGATTAAGAACCGGAAATTAGCAATAGTAACGTTACTATTGCTGTAGTTCTGACAGTATAGCACCTCATTCCTCACGCTTCTACAAACCAACAGCAACCCCAAACAAAACAAAGAAGACACCACCAAATAAAGGCTAAACCCCATCACTAAACCCCCTTCCTTCACTTCACCGACAGTAAGTTGAGGGCTGAGGGTCAAGCGTGAAACCCTAAACTTGGGATGTTCCCCCTTTTCCTAACAGTCCTTAACAATAAAATGTCGGGATTCCATTGTAATCCATAATCAGGACTGTTAGTATAAGGGGGAACATCCCAACCCTACACCTTCAACCGCCTTTCCGGGGCACTGCACACAACCCTAGAGCCCGAAGAAACCTAAACGCCTCAACCCCGAACTCGAGGCCCTTGTCGACCCAATAGGGTCCACCCCAAAAAGACTTAAACCGCTGTAGGAGCCGGCTCCTACATCTGAGGGCGGCGCAAAAGGAGAAACCTAAGACCTAAACCAAACCACTATAGACTATAGACTATAAACTCCTAAACCCCTAAACCCCTCAACCCCGAACCCGAGACCCAATAGGGTTCCACCTTGACCCCAAAAACACCCAACAAAAAAACGCTGAACAGCCAAACCCCGAGGCCCTTTTAGAGCCAATAGGGTTCAGGGTTCAGGGTTTAGGGCTCCACCTTGACCAGGATGGAGTAGCCGTCGGCCGAGGCGTGGGCATTGCGCTGCCAGACCTGGCAGAAATGGGGGAGTTTTGAGCCCTGAACCCTAAACCCTAAACCCTAAACCCTAAACCCTAAAGCCTAAAGCCTAAAGCCTAAAGCCTAAACCCTAAACCCTAAACCCTAAACCCTCACCCTAAACCTCAAAGGCTTTAGTTTAGAGCTCGTGGGTGGGCTGGGGGCGGAGGGGTGGGAGGAGTTTCAAGGTACTCGGGCTGGGCTTTGGGGGGGCTTTAGGGTATCAGGGTTCCGTGGTTTTAGAGTGTTAAGGCTCAGGGATAGCGTTTGGGCTCTTCAGGTTTTTTAGAGTTTAGGACTTGTGGGGCTTGGGGTTGAGGGTTTCGGGTTTAAGGCTTGGGGTTGGTAGCTTCGGGTGCACTACGTGAAGCTTTAGGATGCTGTAAGGGCGTTGAGCGTCTTAAGGCGTCTTCAACGGGGGTTTTAGGGCAACTTCGGGATGCTCAGGGGCTTCGTGTTTCCGTCTAGGGTTTAGGGTTTAGGGTTTAGGGTTTAGGGTGTAGGGGGTTTAGGGTTTAGGGTTTAGGGTTTAGGGTTTAGGGTTTA